GAAAAGGAGGCTCAGGGGAACCTCCTGGCTCTGCACAAGTCCCTGCCAGGAGGGGACAGCCGGGAGAGGTCGGGCTCTGCTGCCAGGGAACAGGGACAGGAGGAGAGAAAACGGCCTCAGGCTGTGCCAGGGGAGGTTCAGGTTGGAGGTTGGATATTGGGGAAAACTTTTTCATGGAAAGGGTGGCCAAGCAGTAAGAAAAGGCTTCCCAAGGCAGAGGTGGAGTCACCATACATGGAAGTGTTTAAAAATGAGTGGATGTGGCACGTGGGGACATGGGTTAGTGGCGTGGAAATGGCCGGACTCACGGATCTTTAAGAGCTTTTCCAACGGCAATAATTCCATGACTGAAAGGTTCAATTCCTCTCCCAGCCCCACTCGCCCTTTCCCCTGACTCCAGCACACCCCATCCTCACCCTGATGTGGCTGCAGGGACAACAAACACCAGAGAAAACACAACCCAAACACGAGAGAAAACACAACCCAAACACGAGAGAAAACACAACCCAAACACGAGAGAAAACAACCCAAACACGAGAGAAAACACAACCCAAACACGAGAGAAAACACAACCCAAACACGAGAGAAAACAACCCGAAAACAAGAGAAGGAAGGGAGGAAGGGAAGGAGGGAGGGAGGAAGGAAGGAAAAGGAAGGAAGGAAGGAAGAGGAAGGGAGGAAAAGGAAGGAAAAGGAAGGAAAAGGAAGGAAAAGGAAGGAAAAGGAAGGAAGGAAGGAGAAGGAAGGAAGTAGAAGGAATAAGAAAGAGACGGGAAAGGAAGGGATAAGAAAGGAACGGAAGGAAACGGACAACGCCCTCCCCACTGCCCCCCGCCCGTCCCGCCGGGGCCGCCGCCGCTCCCGCCCTCCCGTTGCCGCTCACGGGGCCCGGCAGGGCGGAGAGCGGCGGGACCGTACCTGGCGGGGCGTCCCTGCGAGCCGAACCCCCGGGCCCGCCCGTACTCACAACTGCGGCCGCTGCTCAGGGCTCCGCGACATGGCGGGGCGGCCCCGCCGCGGCTCCGCATGTGCGTCACTTCCGCCCGCCCCGCCCCTGCCACCGCCGCTTCCGGGATGCCGCTTCCGGGATGCCGCTTCCGGGATGCCGCTTCCGGCTCAGCACTTCCGGGAAGTGCCGCCGCCCGGCGGCCGCGAGCGGCACTGCGGGGGCGGAGCTTCCGGTGCGGGCGGAAGTGGGCGGGGCGAGGCCCGGGGGTCCCGGTACCGGCACCGGGAGCGGCACCGACACCGGGAGCGGCACCGACACCACACCGGGAGCGGCCTGTTCGGCTGTGCCGTGGCTCCGGGCCGGCCGCGGGACAGCGGCGCTGAGTGTGCGCGGGTGTTTGAACAGGCAATTTGCATATGCAGATGTAGGTTATAATGTATGCAAGGACCAATATGAATACATTCTGTGCATACATATAATGTATGATGACGTCACACTGGGTGGACACACACGTGATAACACCGAGCGCTATCAGTCAGATTTAGATGTAATACGGATTATGTACAATAAAATATAATCACGGAATATTATAATTGTACAATTATAATTAATTGTGGTAAAATTATGAACTGAAATAAAAATAAATAATGAAAAATTACTGAAATTTATAATCAAACATAATAAAATGATATCACTATTATGTTCTTACATTTTATATAACCTGTATCACAGGTTGCATGAAGTAAATACAGTTTTGTATTATGTTATTCAGATTTTATGGAAAGGGGCACCTGAGCTACAGACTACAAATATACATAATATGTATGCAGAATGTGTAGACTTTCATATGTACACAAAAGGAGACTGTGAGGCTGTGAGATATAAATAGAAATATATATAAATAGAAATAGAAATAGAAATAAATATAAATATAAATATATAAATATATAAATATAAATATAAATATAAATATAAATATAAATATATAAATATAAATAAATATAAATATAAATATAAAAATATAAATATAAATATAAATATAAATATAAATATAAATATAAATAAATATAAGTATAAATATAAATATAAATATAAATATAAATATATAAATATAAACATATATAAATATAAATATATAAATATAAATATATATAAATATATAAATATAAATATAAATATATAAATATAAATATATATAAATATAAATATAAATAAATATAAATAAATATAAATATAAATATGTATAAATATAAATATAAATATAAATAATCTAGAATTATAGATAACGTTCCAACACAGCAGCATGTGTAGTACCCAACAGCAAACAGGAACATGACTCTGTGAGATTAATAGTAAATATAAGTACAAATAATACAAAATATCTTGTGCATTTTGTTATATATTCTGTGTTTTGGAAGTTATAGAGAGAAGTGCATTTGTAGACTATAAATGTGTGTGTGTAAAAGGGTGAGAGAGTGAAAGCAGCACAAATCACATTAGATATTGTTAAGTGCTTTATGATGATGTGACATCAGGATAAAAGGGAATCAGACTCTAAACACATGGACCTATAGACATGAATGTACATGTACACAATGTACATGTAAATGCGTATATCAAAGGTATTTATATATGATGGGAAATTTAAATATTTTTCATATAAAATGTATTTATTTCTATTATTTATTTGTATATATGATTTGTTTATTTATTATAAAAAATTAATTTTTATATTATATATGTTATGTTGTTATATATTATATTATATTATATTATATTATTATATTATGTTATATAATATTATATAATAATATAATATATTATATTATATTATTATATTATATTATATTATATTATATTATATTATATTATACTATATTATATTATACTATATTATATTATACTATATTATTATATTATGTTATATTATATTATGTCATATTATATTATATTATATTATATTATATTATATTATGTTACATTATATTATGTTATATTATATTATATTACATTACATTATATTATATTATAATTCTATTATGTTATATTATATTATATTATGATATTATATTATATTATATTATATTATATTATATTATATTATATTATAATGTTATATTATATTATATTATGTCATATTATAATATTATATTATATTATGTTATATTATATTATATTATATTATATTATGTTATGTTATGTTATGTTATATCATATTATAATATTATATATTATGTTATATTATATTATATTATATTATATTATATTATATTATATTATGTTATATTATATTATGTTATATTATAATATTATATTATATTATAATTCTATTCTATTATATTATGTTATATTATTATATTATATTATATTATATTATATTATGATATTATATTATATTATATTATATTATATTATATTATATTATATTATATTAATTATATTATATTATCCAGGTTGACAAGGTGGGGATTGGTGACAGGCTGGACTCGATGATCCTGGAGGACTTTTCCATCCTCAGTGACTCCGTGATTTTCAGTGTCAGACTCTGTTCCAGGAAGGGAAGAGTTCTAATGTCACCTGTTAAAACTGTGCTTTTAGCACCCACGAGTTGCTGCAAGGACAGGAGCTGCTGGGGGCACATTTGGCTGCTCTGCAGATGTGGAGGAGCAGCTCTGGCTGCCGTGTCCCTCGCTCTGCGCTGCCGGGCTCTCTGCTCTCCGCGCGGCTCCGGTGCTGAACCAGGACCAGGGAGCCCAGAGCCAACAGCCGGAGTGTCACATCGCCCATGGCACCCCTGGGCAGCTGAAGGGGTCCCTGCACATGGCAGGGGGTGGAACAGGATGAGCTTCAAAGTCTCTCCCAACCCAAACCAGTCTGGCATTCTGGGATTCTGGGATGTTACAAAACTGCTTGAGAGTGATTTTTCGCTGCCAGTTTTGCAGCTTGGAAAGGTAGAGTTGGTATTGGACATAGAAAAACCTAGTGTAGAGTTTTTAAACCATAAAATTGGCAGAGGGCAGGGTTAGGATGGGATATTGGGCAGGAATTGTTCCCTGTGAGGGTGCTCAGGCCCTGGCACAGGTGCCCAGAGCAGCTGTGGCTGCCCCTGGATCCCTGCAAGTGTCCAAGGCCAGGCTGAACCGAGGGGCCAGGACTGGACACAGAACTCCAGCTGTGGCCTCAGCAGTGCCGAGCACAGGGGAAGAATGAGCTCCCTGCTCCTGCTGGCCACACCATTCCTGATCCAGGCCAGGATGCCACTAGCCCTCTTGGCCACCAGGGCTCTCTGCTGGCTCATGCTCAGTCAGCTGTTGGCCAGCACCCACAGGTCCCTTTCCAGCCACACCATCCCCAGCCTGTAGTGCTGCAGGGGGTTGTTGTGGCCAACTTCATCTTATCAAACTTCATCTTATTGGACTCTGCCCATCCATCCAACCATTGCAGGTCTCTGCACAGCCCTCCTCCCTTCCAACAGATGGACACGTTCTCCCAGCTTGGTGTCATCTGCAAATTCACTGATGGTGGACTCAGTCACTCGTTCAGATGATCAGTGAAGAGATTAAATAGGATTGGGCCCAACACTGATCCCTGGAATCTACCAGTCTGATATCTTGGAATTCTACCTTCCCTAAAGGGGGAGGCAGGAGGCCTTTCCTTCTGGCCATCCCTGCAGGTCAGTAAGGTTTCTGGAGGGCTGAAGTGTCAGGGAACATCTCCAGGAACTTGATGCAGGAGCAGCAGGAAGATCCTTGCAGCTTTGTATTTACACCTCACTGCCCTGCTGCCAGGATCTGCCCTGACAGGTCCTGCAGGTCTCCAGCAGCACTGAAAGATCCTCCTGGTGCTCATGGTTCCCGTGCTGTTCCTGCACCAGATCCAGGATGCTTCCAAGGAGTTTGGAATGCTGCTGGAGCTGTTGTGCCACCAGGTTTTCTGAGAGGACCGATGGATATCAATTATGATAACAGATTGATGCAGAGCCCTTGCATTGTTCATGTTAGAAATAAGTTTTATTTCTTTCCAAACCCAAAATGCTACCTGCAGCCATGAAAACCCCACTGCACTCCCCACCAACAACCATAATTGACTAATCCAGCCTTGTCAAACTTCACAACAGTACATTTCCATGGGAGGGGAAATTTTTTCCATGTGGTACATGATAGAATTGATCTCTACCCTGCAGTTCTAGTCAGCCAAGGAAGACAATTATGGTGATAAAGTTGTGTATTAGGCCTAATTTGGTGAGATATTTTCAATGTTGTCCTTAAAATGCATAATAATTCCTGCTTATGACTTTAAAACTACACAAGGTACAAGGGGCTGCACTCTGCTCTGTCTCCCCAAACTGGGGACTACAATCACAAACTGGGAACTTAAATAATCTGAACATCCCTAAGAGTCCATCTCTATAAGGCAAGCAAATCAAGGGTCCTAACATTAATGTGCAACCACATTAATGTGCACACAGTCTTATGACGTTGAGACACAAAATCTATTTATACAGGTGCATGAAACACATCTTGCGTTCAGCCAACAGCTTCAACAAATGGTCCAGAAGCAACTCAGAAATAAACAATTCCATCCAAAACTGCAGTAAAACCTCTCAAGATCCAACAGGTCTCCTAAGGTCAGGTCACAAACAAGAGGCACCATTAGCAGGGCCAAGTATGGAGGACAGTGCTTTGGCCAGCTCAGCTGACCCCTGGCTCTCCCCTCTTGACTTTTCTCAGTACCCAGCAGGTGACCCTTGAGGGAATTTTGGTTTATTCTCTCATTCTGGCCGCTTTTCCTTTTGAAATGTTTTCTTCAGAACGGTCACGTTTTACCTTTATTTCCATGGGGTCATCTGCATCATCTACAGCAAGAAATAAAGACGGAATAAAGTTTTCAAAGTCTTCCCTGACTTCAGTCAGGTGAAGACAAAAAGTATCAGAAAATGCTTCTGTTCATAGGCAACAAGAATCATGAAATCCCAAGATGGATTATGTTGGCAGAGGCCTTAAAGCTCATTTCACTCCACCCTGTGTGAGTTGAGAAGAAATTCTTCCCTGTGAGGGTGCTGAGCCCCAGCAGAGGCTGCCCAGAGCAGCTGTGGCTGCCCCTGGATCCCTGCAAGTGTCCAACACCAGGTTGGATGAGGCTTGGAGCAACCTGGGATGGTTGAAGATGTCCCTGCCCATGGCAGGGGGTGGAAACTGGATGAGCTTTAATGTCCCTTCCCACCCAAACCAGGCTGAGATTCCATATTTTACTGTGAAGGGTTCCTCTGAGCTCAGCACAGGCCCTGGGGTTTCAATTTTAAGAGCACAGGTGCCATAAGTGACACATCTGTGTGACTGGAAATACCTAATTAATTAATTACTTCAGGCTCAGCACAGTTTGAGTGTTCTAGCCTTACCTGATAATAACCTGTTATCCACTGGATTAAGCAATGTAGAAAACCATACCAAAAGATAAATTTCTTTGAACAACTCACCTCTCCAGAGTTTTGTGCTCAGTGAGAATCTCAGTATCTGCTATGGCATAGGGCAGATCATGGCACCAAGGACAAACAAGAATATTCTGGTTTACAAGAGGCAAGGGCAGAGCTGCAGAGATTTCTGCACCCTGGAGACACACCCAACCAGCCTGGGGCTGGGGAGTCAGGGCAGGTGGAGAAGATCTGGTTTTGGGAAGGCAGGCTGCAGGCAGGAGGGTGCTCCAAGGGGAGAGGGAAGGAAGAAAAGGCTCACACTGGTTCTTGCACATGGGACAGTGTTTTAACAGTAACCAGAAGAGCTGCACATGATGTCGGTATCCAAGGAAGAAAAGCATCCTGGAAAAGCACTCAAAGCCAAGCCTCAGAGCCCTGGGTTCCTGGGGACAGCCTGAGTGTCACAGCACAGGGAACCTGGGTGCTGCAGCACCTCTCACCTCTCGTGAGCTGGGCTGTTCTGTGCTGCTCCTCTCTGACCTGTTTCATCAACTGCAGGTTGTGGTCACTGGCTTCCTTGTGGTTCACCATGGGGAAGGGGTAGTCCTGACCTGGGCAATGTGGAGACAGAGCCTTTACCACACTTGGCAAGGACATTTTCCCCAGATTTGAAATACTTCCAGCTTTTCTTAAATGGAAGTGCCTAATCTGCTCCATCAAAGAGAAGAGCTCACGCTTTGACATAAGAGCCTTCAAAGATGTGTTAGAGCAGGAGTAAAAGCACAAGATGTTCAGATACTATTTAAAGCAGCCAAGCATCCAAGATGGATAAATTCAAAGGCAAAAGCATAGAGTGATCCAAGAGTTTTAGGACATAAAGTTGAGGCAAAAGTATGTGCTGTGAAATGAGACTCCAATAAAAAAATGTTAATGGAGAATGAACAGCAGGAAGGCTGTTGGATTCATCCATTTTCAGAAGATAAATGGTTTGTGATGCTTCCAACTCATACACATTTATTTTGGATAGTTAGCAGCAGGAAAATCCCTAGCAAGGAATGCAAATGAATTACCTATGATACATCCTGCTTGCTTCTGCTCTTCTTCAGATGCGGTCCAGGGCTCGTAGATGTACTTGGAGGGAAAGTTCTTTAGTATAGGCAAGTATTTCCTACAAAACAGGGATAATAGGGGGGATTATAATCCTGCAGTCAAATATTCATACATTCAGAGAAGTGTAAACCAACCTGTGCCATGTTAATATTGATATTACAATCCATGGGAAAGTTCTGATTTGTTCTCCACAAAAAAATCTGGTTTATGTTCTCAAACCTCCATAGATGATATCTTCCAAAAGTTAACTTTGCAGCATAGAATAAATGGGGTGATTTAAACAGTACTTCTGTTCTGATTTCATCAAAAATATGTTTTTAACATTTTTACTGACATTATATCCTAAACATGAATAAATTTAAAAAACAAACTAATTTTAAAGAATTGTTGCAGAATGGCAAAGTCATTTTCTGTCCCACTCTGTGAGGTACCTCAGCACAGGCTTCTCCTTGGCAATACCCAAATCTAGCCAGGATGGGAGGAAGAGATGTGGGGAAATGCAGCTCTTTGTTCAGTGTTAACACAGTGAGCCCAGGAAACCCCCAGTGCTTTCAGAGAGCCCCTCAGCACATTATGGAGAGACAAGGAAATGAGACTCTGAAGCAAAGAGGACTCAGAGTGGAAAACAAAACCTAGGTGTGTGCAACTAAAGGATGGCAGGGTTAGATGGGATATTGGGATAATTCTTCCTCTGAGGGTGGGGAGGCCCTGGCACAGGTGCCCAGAGAAGCTGTGGTTGCCCCATCCTTGGAAATGTCCAAAGCCAGGCTTGGAGAAACCTTGGGATAGTAGAAGATGTCCCTGCCCATGGCAGGGAGTGGATGAGGTTTAAGGTCCCTTCCAAGCACATCCCAGAATTCTATGAAAAGCAAGAAACAAAGTGCAGACTGGAGCAGAGAAGCTGTGGGAAGTTCCACTCAAATCCTTTGGAAAGAGGAGCCAGCCTGGTGATCAAACATGGTGCTGGAGGCAACAAGTGCTCACAAATGAACACAAGCCCTGCTCAGCCATCACTTGGAATGACAGGTATCTCTCTGCTTCTCCATGACTCAGTTTCCTCATGTGCTCAACAAAACCATTGCTTATGAGCCCTGTTTAACAGATGTGTGTTTCAAAGTGATCCAGTTCATCAGCTCCTGCCATCAGAGGAGCTTGGGAAGCTCTCGGGGAGGTGGTGGGGTGGGGAGTCCCCTGACCTGATGTAGTCACCCTGGGGGTCTGTGCGCTTCCCAAAGCGGACAGGGCAGAAGATCCGTGTGTACTGGTGGAAGAAGGCGCTGGCTGACAGCCACATCCAGTTCCCAGCATTGATGCTGTAGTCAGCATCTAAAAGCAGCTCTTCAAACACCTGCAAATCAGGGGTGGGGAAGAGAGAAACACCCCTGAAATGGCTACTTTGCAAAAAGTGGACAAAAGCAGGCTGGGAGGTGAAGGGTGGGGGTTGCTGCTGGAAGCACAGCACTGTGGGGCCTGGGCTGCCTCCTCACAGGCACACGAGTGCTCTCCAAAGACAGAGCAACCCAAAAACTCTGAGTTTGGAACTCTGCTACAGACTGAGCATGTCTCCACCAGTATCCTCATTATCCAAAAATCATGAGGATTTGGGGAAGGGAATGACCTCTCACAACTGCAGTGAGTGACAAAGAGATTCCATAAACCCTGAAATCCACAGGAAGGGGCAGAACTAAACTCTGCTCTGCAGAATCTCCACTGCTAGACTCAGGCTGTGCAGTGTTTCCCAGGGCCAGGCAGAACAGAGGAAAACAAAAGCCAGCAGTGAACCTTCATTCCCTCTTCCCAGCTGATCCAGAGGTCCCCCCGTGTCAGGAAGCAGGCGACAGCGTGCCGAGCCAGGTGATGGATCCAGCCCTCCTGGCGCAGCTGGGTCATGATGGCATCGATCCACGGGAACCCTGTCTGTGCCTGCAGCAGAACAGGAACATCAGCTCCCACCTCATACACTGCTTTCACAGAATCACAGGATGCTTTGGCTGGGAAGGGAAATTGAAGCCAATTCCACCCCCTGCCATGGGCAAGGAGATACTCCACTATCCCAGGTTCCTCCAAGCCCCGGCCAACCTGGCCTTGGACATTTCCAGGGATGGGGCAGCCACAGCTTCTCTGGGCGACCTGGGCTAGGGCCTCATCACCCTCACAGGGAAGAATTCTGTCCCACTATCCCATCTTAGCCTGATCTCTGTCAGCTGGAAGCCACTGCCCCTTATCCTGTGACTCCATCCCTTGTCCCAGGTCACTCTCCAGCTCTCCTAAAGCCCCTTTAGGCACTGGAAGGGTCTCTAAGGTCTCCCTGGAGCCTTCTCTTCTCCAGGCTGAACATTCCCAGCTCTGTCACACCACTGCAAGACCCCCTCAAACCACCAGGAGGGACCAATCAAGAGAAGAGGAAAGCTTCAAGCTCCAATGCAGCTGCTGTGGCCATGCACCTCATTACCGTTTTCCATTTGTGGAGCCTCTCTGCGTCCTTGTACCAGCAGATCTGGAGGCAGATGGGGTTTCCAGACATCTGGGTGAAGTTGGGGGTTGCTGATGCTACTGTATAGAAAAATTCCCTCCACAACAGCTGCCCTTGGAGTGACACTGGGGGCAGAGAGTGGTGCTTTGCCTGCGGAAGACACAAGGTGACAGCTTCAGATCACACGTATCATTGTAGCCTCACTCATTTTGCGGCAGTCAGACCTAAAAAATAAAGATTAATCTGACTACAATACTGGTTTCAAGGCACTTTAGTGTTCAAGTCAAGGAAATCAAAGATCTGATGCAATGCTGTCTGGCCCAAAGCAAAGCCAAACTGACAGACCTCAGTGTTACCTCAAACATTCCCCACCTCCCTTCCAAAACAGTTCACACCGGGATTTCTTACACCAAGCATGTGTTTATTAATGTGTTAACTGAATTCAGGTGGCTCAATCATGTCTCAAAGGAAAGTCTTAAAATGGAGGTAAAGGAGGACCTGGGTTTTTCTTGGGTTGGTTTCAAGCTCAATTTTTATTAAGAATCAAACAAGATTTCTGAAAGTGGTTTTGGTTTATACTACAATTAAAACTTGTCTAAGGCAAAACCAATTGATTTCCAGAAACAAAACTGTATAAAAATATCAAAAACTTCCCTTAACCACTAGACAAACCAAATCCTTGAATTTTAGTAATGTTTTCCTGGGCTTCCCTGCTGATCCTGGGTCTGCTTGCTCCCTATTCATAGAACCATGATTTGGGTTGGAAGGGACCTTAAAGCCCATTCCATTCCACCCCATGCCATGGGCAGGGACACCTTCCACTAGCCCAGGTTGCTCCAAGCCCTGTGCAACCTGGCCTTGGATGCTTTGAGGGATGGGGCAGCCACAGCTGCTCTGGGCAGGCTGGGCCAAGGCCTCACCACCCTCACATGGAAGAATTTCTTCCCAACATCTAATCCAAACCTGCTCTCTTTCAGTTTGAAACCATTCCCCCCTGTCCTGTCACTACAGTTCCTGATGAAAATATGAATTTAGAATATGAGTATCATGTTTCTAAAACTTAATTGGGAAGAGCTGCAGACATTCACAGGTGTTTCACAGAACATGCAGCCACTCCACAGATTCCATGGGACACTGTGAGAAGACATTAACAAAGCAGCATTTTTTGATACACAAAATCTCTACCACGATGATCCAAGTGTTAAATCTTGCCTCCCATACCAGACATGCCACAGTTTTGGATTTACTTACTTAGGACCAATTATTTGCTTACCTGAGCATAAATGTTTGACAACCTATAAAAAAATGTCCGAACTGACAGACAGCCCATACTGAAATATGGGCTCAGGCCTGTGGTGCTTGGAAACAGCGAGTTTGGGATTGTCCTTGGTTTAGCAAAACTTGTCACCCAGCCCTGAAATGAAAACAGAAATCTGGGTTCAGGCAGCACAAGATGACACATGTCCAGTAACAGAGGAAAGCTCTTGGAACTGGCTTCACTATCACCAGGGCTTGTTTGATGTCGTGCCTGGAAAACCCAAGCTGCCACCCTCCTCCAAGCCAAGCTTGACTCTGATCTCAGCCCACCTGGAGCCACTGCCATCCCCTGTGTTCCATCAGGGCTGACCTGGTCACTCAAGTGTTGCTCCAGGCGCTGCAGCCCTTCAGTCTCCCCTCCTCTCCAAGGGGAAAGGCTCTCTGGGGAAATCTTCAAATCCACAGGGAGAGGCACTCTGTAACACTCAGCCAGGCTTGGGTCAGGGGCCCTACATCTCCTGAGGTGAGAAAGAAAAATCTTTGAAAGGAGCAGCAGGAGCCAGGAGAAGGAGGCAGCCCCTGTCCATAGCACACACAAGCCTCCTCTATCACAGTCCAAACAGAGCACAGGGAATGAAAGCACAGCAAGAAATCCCAGGTTGCACTCTCCTGGGAAAGTTTATCCTGCAATTGCTCCAGAGAATTCTAGCCTGAATTCAGGGAAGAAGAACAGTCCCACCAAGTTACAGTGCTCAGAGAAGTCAGCTGCACCCATAGCTCAAACCCCTTTTAGTTCCCATCCCATACGAAAGTCTCAGAGGCAGCTCCTCTCCAGTTGCTCCCAGCAATATAATACTCAAGTTCTAGAAGGGAACCAAGAGCCTCCTCAGACCCTAAACACAATTATGGTGCTGCCTGTGCCTCTGAGGAGAGGTCACTCTGGAGAGGTTTCACAGAATCCCAGACTGGTTTGGGTTGGAAGGGACATCAAAGGCCATTCCATTCCACTCCCTGCCATGGGCAGGGACACCTTCCACTAGCCCAGGTTGCTCCAAGGCCTGTCCAGCCTGACCTTGGATATCTCCAGGCATGGGACAGCCACAGCTTCTCTGGGCAGCCTGGGCCAGGGCCTCGCCACCCTCACATGGAAGAATTTATTCCCAACATCTAATCCAAAGCTTCTCTCTCTCTCAGTTTCATAGGGAAGGAGGCAGATCAGCTTCCTGGGCAACTCCAGCTGCTCGTTCCTAACCAAGGTGGGGGCTCTCCAAGAGCACAGCCCTCAGCAGTCCCCCCACATCTCCTCAGCCTCAGCTGCTGTGGCTTCCCAATATGACTGGAAGAGTATCAGTTTGGTTTTTCTTCCCCCTTGTAAAACACAGATGAAGAGGCCCAAGGAAGTGCTGGCAGCATAGAGATTTCTCACAACCCATGAAGGAGCTCAGACATCAACAGATCTTTGTACTCACCTGGACAAACCTGAACTTAGCCCTGCTGCAGACACCTACAGAGGTGGGGCCAGTGCAGCTCTCAGAGCACTGACATAGCTCAGGCCTGCTGGGAAGCACGTGAACCACTTACCTCTCCTCAGCATTAATTTTAAAAGTCCAAACAAATTAGGCAAGAAAGGGAAAAAAACAGTACTAGAAAAAAATATAGGAACTTATATATCCCAGTACTCACATGAGTTTTGTCATCGGACTGTCTGAGGACAGCATTAGGAATTAACATCAGGAATTAACAGGACTCCCCCAGGATGGGAAGATCCAAGCCTGGATTGGTGGCACTGAGCTGAGGCCATGCAGGAGGCACCTGACATTGAATCCCAAGTACCTGCAGTCCCATTCCAGCTCTCTCCTGCCTCAGTCTTACCTCCCTTTGGATCACTGACCTCCCCTCATGCAGAGCTAAACACAAGACATCTTGACTCTGAGCTTCTTCTCAAGTCCTGGCAGACATGAGCTCAGTCCCTCTTTCTCATATGGCTGAGGGGAGGAGAGATTAAAGCCAGGAGGGAACAGTAGGATTATTCCACTGAACTTCCTGTGTAAAAAAAAACTATAGTGGTTCATCCAATTCCTGTCCAAAATCTTGAGAGAAATGTAGAACATGCCTTTGAGTAAATTCCCCAGGCTTGCCTCTGTAGGAGTTTGACATCTCATAAAAGCTTTTCTCAAAGTGCCTTAGCAAAAGCTTAAGACTTTTATGGAATCACAGAATCATTAAGGTTGGAAAAGACATTTGAATTATTGAACCCAACCATTATTTTGTGAGCTGTCCCACATGGTGGGAAATCTGCTGCACAATACCAAAAGAGATGACTATCAGAGCTGCTGGAGTCTGAGACACAGTGTGAGTCCTTTGTCTCTGATGCCTGGCTCTGACATCCAGGAGAACACTGAATTTCACAGAACATGAAATTTATGGGCATGTTTTCATGGTGATACGTGAAAACAAAAAGCTAAAAGTGTGAGTGTGTAGATTAGAGAGTCTTTTAAGTCACTGGGTGAAAAAGTAAGTTTAGAGTTTAAACTAGTTTAGAAAGCAGAAGACAAGGTGGAGGATTTAGAGTGTTGTCTCTTGTCCTTCTTTCTTCTTCATGTTTTTCCTCTAGAGGTTTTTGGGCAGTGATTGGATAGAAAATGCCACAGTGCAGCACACAGGTGATGGGTCATTGGGTCATTAAGAAAAATAATATATGTGTCTATTGTTAATTGGATAAGAATAAGTATAAAGATAAAAAGGCTGCACACTCTGGGGCCATTTTGTGCCATCAGAGCAAAAATGTGCCAGGTTGTAGTGATTTGAACTTGTGCAGAAAGTCTGGAGAGACCTGCCAAGTTTTGTGATAACATCCTAATAAACACCAGAAGCAAGATCCTAACGAGCTTTGGAGTTTTCTCCCTGACCCAGAGAACTGAGATAAACAGAACTCCCCATGAGGGGGTATTCTGAAGGAGCCCAGCCCAGAAGAGACTGGGAAATCCACGTGGGAGGAGAAGTACAGTAGAATCAGAGAGAGAAAAAAAAGATTAAAGAAGTTATAAGACCATTCCACCACCTGCTCTCCCCTCCCAACAGTCACATCCCCTTATATAGAATCAATAACCCTCCATGCACAGAAATAAAACAAGAAAACATCTAAAATGCCTCATTATCGTTTGGCCCTGGCTGCTCTTTTGGGCAGAGAAAGAGGACCAGCAATTCCCACTCCCTGGCTGATACTTACTGGAAGTCTTCAGCTGTGAGGTTTCGGACAGGCATCTCAGGGTCACCAAGCAGAGACAGAATGTGAAGGAACCTCTTGTAAGTTAATGGGGGACTCCCACCATTTATGTCCAAAATCCTTAAAAGAAAACCAAGATCTCTTTCCACACAGCAGAAACCAAGGAAGAAGCTGGAACTGACAGTGGACAAGAAGGTGACACCACAGGCTATAACAACTCCATTAGTGCAAGTGATTGTGGAAATTACAGATTTTACAAGTAAAACTCTCCTGGGTGAATGTACATCTATCCCAAGAGCAGTTTCTCAGGACCTAAGACAACAAAACTGGGATCAGGATTGCAGCCATGGCTTCACCTGCACAGCTACACACAGCCAGAACACACAGGGCAGGGTGTGGGACACCTCTCATGTCACAAAAAAAAACGTTCAGGGCAGTAAATAACTGTCCTCTCTGAGCAATTACCTGTGCAAACAGCTTCAAGACAGCAAGTTACACACATCCATTCATTTACATAATTTAGGGATTTTGCACAATTGGAGCATTAGGGCTGGCTTAGTTATTACTGCTTTCCTTCTTAGTGATTTTAATATCTTCAGTCATTCAGCACAGATAACAGCTTGGATCCAAGTGTATTCAGACACCAGTGAAAGCTGTTCTGAAAGAATTTGAAAAAATCTAACATCAAAAACTCTTTACCATATTTAACAGAACTTTTACAAGTCCTATTAAGTATGTTAGAGAATTTCTTCCACTCTATTTAAAAGAGTAAGTCTTTAGATGAATTAAACTGCCCAAAAGGAAAAATTTAACCAGCTCTTTAGGCTGAAACCCTAAAACCTGTGCACAATCTCTTCTGTTCCTTCCAAGACAGCAACACACAAAGTTTCTCCAGCAAACGTTCACCTCAGACAGTCCAAACATTTTCTCCAAAGGAAAAACCAAGACACTTGGCCTATGCTGTTCTAAAGTGACTTTCCTGGAAACACCTGTGGCTTTGAGGCAGTCACGTACCGCTGGGTATTGTACAGGCTGTGGCCCACCAGGGAAAGCACCTCGAAGCCCAGCTCTGCCCCCAGGCGCCGGATGTTGGCCTCCATCTCCTTGTAAAACGGCTCCATCTCTGCATCCAGCGTCACCTGCGTGATATTCCACTTCTGGATGTGATCCCTAAGAACAGTCTCATACTCCCCTTGAATAACCAGCAAGCAGGAGCCCATCTGGCCCAAGTTTTTGTGGAGATCCTCAAGGGACTGGAGCAGGAAGTGCCAGCGCAGGGCCCCGATGTGCATGGAGGAGGTCAGGAATGCTCTGTCCAGGATGTACACGGGGTACAGGGCCTCTGAGGACTCCAGGGCAGCCAGCAGCACTGGGTTGTCGTGGAGCCGCAGCTCCTTCCGGAAAAGGTGAATGGTGCGATGCAGCATGCTGCCTACAGGAGGAAGGGAACCCTTGGGTTCCAGGATAACAAACCCCTATAAAGAACAAAGTCAATTAACAATTAGAAATAGAGCTCAAAAAAAATCCTCCGCAGTTTTTACCACAAACTTCTTGCTCTGGTAAGTTTTCATGAGAGAGAAATGCAGGAACAAGACCAAACCTCTCCTCTGGTCCCATCACTCAGCAGCAGGATCACCACCCAGCTCCACAGAGAATAGTCTCTGCCCACAAATGAGTCACTCAAATTCTAAAATTAAATCCCTCAGTTAAATTACATCCCAATAACACTCACCAGAAGGAAGAAATCAAAACAGATAGAGCTGCCAGAGCTCCATTTAGGGCTTTTTAACACTTTTTAACCCCACAGATGTGGCTGTCAGCAAAACCTCTGGAAATCATGATTTAAAGGAGGTCCACAGGAGCAATCAGCTCATCAGAGACCTAATACAATACTCCCTCTTCCAGGTGATTTTAGGAGGAGACATCTGAATTTATGGATTTCACAGAATCCCAGACTGGTTTGGGTTGGAAGGGACATTAAAGACCATCCTGTTCCACCCCCTGCCATGGGCAGGGACATCTTCCACCAGCCTAGGTTTCTCCAAGTCCCGTCCAACCTGGCCTTGGACACTTCCAGGGATGGGGCAGCCACAGCTTCCCTGAGCAACCTGGACCAGAGCCTCATCACCCTCACAGGGAAGAATTTCTTCAAATATCCCATCTCACCCTGCCCTCCAGCAGTGGGAAGCCATTCCCCCTTGTCTTGTTCCTCCAGATCTTTGTCCAAAATCCCTCTCTAGCTCTCTTGGAGCCCCTTTAGGCACTGGAAGGGGCTCTGAGGTCTCCCCTTTTCTCCTCTGGGCTATCCCCAGCCCTCGCAGCCTGCCTCCAGAGCAGAGCTGGGTGTGGTAATGACACAAACCTACTCTTGGTTCATACATTACTCCCCTTTGAGCCAGTTCAGCTGAGTTCAGAGGGTTGTCAGGAGTGCTGACCTTGGGTGTTAGGCTGAAGTGGCTCAGGGTACAGTTTGGGAGGCAGCTCCCAAGCTCTGGCTGCCCTATTCAGGACAATGAACTCAGCAGATGTCAGGAAGAAAGGAGAAGCCCAGCAGCAGCTCCTAAACTCCCTTTCCCACATAAAATTGGGAAAGTTCAACACCCAACTGTAGGTGGGTCCTCACCTGCTACTAATATTGAGCCTTACCCTCAGAGGAGAATTAAGAGATTAGGGATTAGCAAAGAACCAAACAATCTTTAATCCAGCTCAGCTCTTCCAGCCAAACAGCTTCACTCAGCCCTTCACTAATGGCTGCACCAGGCAATTCAGCCCTTGTCCCTGCTTAACCCACATCCAGCAGCTTTTCCAGAAATCTGATTTTCTCCATTCCCAAACACATGCACCAGCAGCACCCAGACAGACCAACTTTGTTACAATGCCCCAGTAAGGTCCCACACTCACGAGCATGGGGTGCAGCCCAAGGCAGGGCTGGGCTGTGTGGGGTGCTCTGCCCTGCACCCACTTCCTGGGAGAACCAGAAAAACAAGATGACTCCTGCTGCTCAGAGGAGCACCCAGATGGCATTTTTGGGTACTGAACCATGCAAACTGTGCTGGTAGAGTCCCCTACACCCTATGCACCAGCTAGCCTCACAGAAGGACTGCCCCAGTCAGGGGCTCCAAGGCCCCCACAGGCTTTGGGGCTGTCCCAAACCGTGTGGGCCCACATGGTCTGCAGGGTCACCCCAAATCCAGACACCCCACGATGTCTGTGGGATCTCACTCACCCTTTGCCCCTTGGTCTCACACACTTGGGACTGCTCTGAGCCCAGTGCCCCACACAGCCCATGGGATGGCCCCAGGACCCAAGCCACCCCATCCCATGATGGCATCTCCACAGAAGCAGTAGGGAGCAGGATCAAACCACAACAGGGACTGGGCGCAGGACAGGTGGGCCCCAGGTCAGGGCCTGGGTGGGCTGTAGGGTCTGAGTTAAGGGCAGCTCTGGGGATCACACTAAAGGGGGCTGGGAGAATCAGAGCTGGGGGGACAAGGATTTAATTAAAAGAGGCTGAGAGGAGCAGGGGCTCCATTAAAAGGGGCTGAAGGTCACTGGGGAGGAAGGGAGCCTTGAGCCAAAGAAGTGTCAAAGCTGGGTGAGGAGCTGGGTGGGAAGGAATGGAGGGGGATCACTTGTCCAAGCCATGGGCGGTGTAGAAACCAGTGACTCAAGTCCATTCGCCCAGCAAGGCTGGGCAGACTCCCTGCCACAACCAGATCACATCTTTTCCCCAAAAATCAGCCAGGCAGGCAGAAGATACACCTCACACGGGATTCATCCCTGCACTTTGGGACAGGTGCACCAAGACAGAAAGGGAAAACCAGGCCTTACTTTGAGGGCTGCACAGCTGATGCTGTCCAGGGTCTTTACAACCCATCACCCTAAAAGGAGGAGGTCACACAGTCACTGATCCCAGCTCTCCCACTGCTGAGCATTTGTCTCCACAGGCAGGAATGTGCTGGAAGGATGCAAGGGCTGTCAGTGGCACTATCCAAAACCCACTGTGCTGCTCCTGTTCCTACAGGCATCCAGAAATGAGATGACCAGGTTTAAACACCCCTAAACACCATAAATATCTGCACTGAGGTGGATTCCGCATCAAAGACGGTCTAAGCCACTCAAGTTTTTGTGTAACTCCCAAGAAGAAGGATTGCAGGCAGCTCCTCTCTGGTCCCACTGGCCCTTGGAGCTGGCAGAGCCAGATGGGGCAGGGACAGACCAAGACCTAGGAACTGGGAAGACAAAATTTTAACAGTTTAATTTCCTCTGTGGGGCACTCTCCATTGTCAAATGCTCATTGACTATATCCTGGCTGCTTCAGAAGTAATAATGAAACAGATAAACACAGGTTCAGACATCTGGAGAGAGTAGCCTCACACCTGCTCTCTGAAACGACAGTCTAGGCTTGGGAAGTGGAATAATTATCACCATTAAGTTGATTACTGTTATTCTGATTTGATAGACTTGAGAACAATTCTTAACTGGGATGTAAGAATTTAAGTTTTGCATAAGTCTGGTTCCATAATACCACTCTCCACACGGAGCCAGACCTGAGGCTACTGTTGATTCCAACCTCTAAGTTATTTTCCCTGCTTGAATACTTGAATACGTATTTACCACGGTACTGGATACAGCTTTGATGCAAGAAAATGGCATATCGAGTCAGAGGAGAAAATAAGATCCAAATCCATCCAAGAGTAGGGGTTTGAATGGGGCTTCTCCTGTAGCGGGTGGAGAACCGAGAGTCTGTACCCACGGGGGCCGGGGGAGGGTGGGGGAGACGGGCTGAGGCTCCAGGACCTCCTGCCCGGACCCCTCACACAGGGGGGCAGTGGCGAGGAGGGAACGGGGGAGGGCGGCCCCTGCGCCTGTCCCGCAGCAGCTGGGGGCGAACGGGCCAGCCTGGCCTCCATTTCTCCCTGAGGGGGCTCCTGCCTTTACCTCCTTCCCCACGGGCTGCGGTGGCGGCGGGCGCGGCGCCGGTTCCTCGCCCCACGGGGCTGCTTACATAACGCCGGCCAAGACGGGTGGGTTACGCAAGGACCGCTCCCAGCGGGGCCCTGCCCGCTGTCCGCGGAGGTTTAACGCGGTTCAGGGTGGGAGGGCCCAGGGCTGGAACATCCCAGAGGATCCCGGAGGGTCCCAGAGCAGCTCCGGCCCCGCGCCCGCCTCCCCACTGCGACCTTAAGCCACGCCCCCAGCGCGTGAGGGGCGGGGCTTGGGTTCCCGCCCGCAGCGTTTACCAATGGCAGCGCTCCTATTCAAATGAAGGGGCGGGGCTGAGCGCCAGGGCAGCCCAATCAGCGCCCGAGAGGCGGGCCAGGGGGCGGGGCTTCCTGCCAGGCATCCGCCCGTTGCCACGTGATAGCGGAAGTCCAGCCCCCGCCGCGCGCCGCCTCACGGGTCTGGGCGGGGCCTGGTCATTGTGGCGGGAGCGTTAATTAGTTAGAGAAGGTAATTAGCAGAGAGGGTGGAGGTCGTTACGAAAGGTTTGTGTGAGGGCTCTTGGAGGAGTGAGGTTGTGGGTGGCCTTTCCCATCCTTGGGGAGTGGGAAACGGGGCGCAGTTCTTGTGCGGGGGTAATTAGGTAATTAGGCTGAGGGGTAATTAATTTGGCTGATGAAGGAGAGTGAAACGCTTCTTCAGAGGGGATAGTTGGAGTAGGGGTGCAGTAGAACTGAGGGGTGCTGGGGCCGGGGAGTCTGTGTGCTGTTAATGGTGCCTGAGGGAAAGGATAATCCCTGGAGGGGCAGTTCGGCCTAGGGAGGTGTCCCCCCCCTCAGGGTGGGGGTTAGGGCTGTGCTGGGTTACCGTGCCAGGTTCCTCTCGGGGTGACTGGCAGTTGTCCCCGTGTCCCTGTCCACGAGGACTGGGGAGGAAGAGCAGACCCTTGTTTTAGGAGTATCAGGAGTATTCCTGTGGCAGGGAGTGGCCCATCCCTGGAGCAGCTTTCCCCCTGCACAGGAAGGGAGAGATGGGGCCTTTGGCTAGAAAGGGGCACTGATGGGTGGCCCCAGCAGGGCAGTGGGTACCTTAACCATGAAGGGACACAGTGGTCCCAGGGCAGATGTTACAGTCCCATAAGGGGTTTAGAGCCTGCTCATGGTCTTCCCAGTTCATCAGGGTTTGTTAAACCCCAGCATTTATTAGAATCATCTGGGGACTGAAGGGATGGATTATAAAGGGTCTCATGCTCCTCTTCCAGCTGGGTGCAAAAGCAGCTCCAGGAACTGGCTTAGCATCTCTGTGACTCTCATACCACATCAGGATAACAGTTCAAAACCCAGGTCCTTAGCCAAAAAGAGTTCTCAATTTAAAGTGCTATTTTTGAAAATCCAGGTTTATCAGGAGTAGAACTTGGTCTCAGAGCACCATGCAGAGAGCATCACGGCTGACAAGGGAGCTCTCGCTCCTGGCTACAGAGCCACCTCCGGGTATCACCTGCTGGCAGAACGGGCAGGTCAATAACCTGCAGGCACGTACGTACCTTGGGGGCTCCCAAAGGCTGGGTTGCAGTTTGCTGCTGGGTCTGTGCATGCTTTGGGCTTGTGGAAGAAGCTCTATGTGGAAGTGTTGGATTTTAGTTTCCTTTAAACATGGCTTGGCCAGTGCCTTGGCTGGTCTGCCCTTAGTTTTGATTGTTGGGGAGTGGAACTGTATTGAGTTCCCGGGTGCAGGATCATGTCCAGGGAGGCTACAGTTACTGGTGACCAGCATGGGGCTCCAACGAGATGAGCTTCTGCTCAGGAAACCATTTATTCAACACAGGAACAAACTCAGCTTAGATCCAGAGATGGAGAGCCCCAAACAAAGGCAGGATGGTGGGTTTTATGGGACAGAACCAGGGTGGAGTTTAAGGTCTGGGTCTGATAGGAACATAGCAAGGGAGAAACCCCAGGGGCACAGAAGCAATCCAGGCACCCTGGACTGCCACCCCATGAGGGTCTAGGGTGGAGAAACTCTTCCCTGCCTCACAGGGCCCATCCCCTGAGACAGAGGGATGGAGTTTACACTTCCCTGGCTTTAAAGACATACCTCTCACTTTAATGATTCTTATCTGAAACGAAATCTTTGCCCCTCTGGGCTGGGCCCCTCCAAGAACTGGTCTTACATTGTCCTCTGTTAGGGTAGTGAGGCCCTGGCACAGGTTGCCCAGAGAAGCTATGGCAGTCTCATCCCTGCAAGTGTCCAGGTTAGATGAGGCTTGGAGCATCCTGGAACTGGATGGTCTTTAATGTCCCTCCCAACCCTTAACATTCTATGATTCTGTCACCTGAGCAGCTCTGTAACTGTGGGGGGTATGTGGGGACTGCTGGACAACGAGATGATCTTGAAGGTCCCTTCTAACCCAAACCGTTCTGTAATCCTGATTTTGAATGTAATTTTTGTATTTTTATCTTACTCCTAAAGAAATTCTAGGAGGTGTGGACACACCTTATGAGAAAGGAATATTCAACCTGGAAATCATAGTTCCCGAAAGGTAAGTGGGCAATAGACTCTAGCTAGATTAATTAAGAAGGAATTTTCCCCTGTGAGGGTGGGGAGGCCCTGGCACAGGGTGCCCACAGAAGCTGTGGCTGCCCCATCCCTGGAAGTGTCCAAGGCCAGGTTGGGCAGGGCTTAGAGTATCCGGGATAGTGGAAGGTGTCCCTGCCATGGCAGGGGGTGGAGCAAAATACACTTTAATGTCCTTTCCACCCCAAACCAGGCTGATTCTCTGGTGTAGTCCTGCTCTAAATGAGTAAACTGATGTAAGGTATTTGCTGTAAATGCTAACATGTGAGTCTTTCCTTTATCCTCTCAACAAGGAATTGAGACCCTCTTTTTAAGGAATGTAATTTTTCTAGTAGCTGATACACTTACTTCACATTGAACACTAAAGATGTGTGATGAAAAACCTAAAAGTGTAATGGTAAGACTTTTGCCTTGTCATGCTTTCTCAAAGCTTTCTGGAAGGAGTTTTTTCATCAGTACAAAGTTTCTTATGTTGTTCCCTTGTGGAAAGCTACCCAGAGAAGTGTTAGTCAGACACAGCTGGCAGCAGCAAAGGCAGAGCACTGCCTCCGAAGATTTGTGGGGAAGGGTGTCATGTAGGCTGGGAGGAGGAAATGATGGAATTGCTTGGGAGGCAAAACAGCTGGTCCTGTAGGCATAATAATAACTTGTTTCTTAATGCTTATACCTTCAGGTACCCATTTGAGCCACCAAAGATTCGCTTCCTGACCCCCATCTACCATCCTAACATTGACTCTGCTGGAAGGATTTGCCTGGATGTTCTTAAGTTACCCCCGAAGGTAAGACAGTGCTTGGGTGTGGGTAAGTGAGCCTGGGCAGGATAATGAACTCCTTATTTGCTTCTTCTAAAAGCCTGATTGAATGTCTGTTTGCTCCTGACTTATTTACAGGGAGCAGGGAGTGAAGTTTTGAGTGGCATCTCCTTTGTTTAGAGCCAGAACATGATGTTCTTTGTTCCATATAAGTTTCCAAGGCTTTAAAGATTGGAGTCAAAAGGCATTAGGTCTGGAAATGAGTTGCCCCAACACAGCAGAGATGTGCAGGATACAGCCCATAGAATCATGGAATTGAGAGTGGGTCTGGTGTTTTCCATGGGGCATTAGGTGCTGGAAGTCCCAGGGCAGATGTGGGCAGGCTGGGTTGAAGTGCTGTGGGTTCTGAGGTGTCTCTGGGTTGCTGTGTGCTGGTTTCTCTCTCTGAGCTGCTGCTCCTGTCCTGTTTCCTTGCAGGGTGCATGGAGGCCTTCCCTGAACATTTCCACCCTGCTGACCTCTATCCAGCTGCTGATGGCAGAGCCCAACCCTGATGACCCTCTCATGGCCGATATTGTACGTGAGCTCCTCTTCCTCTCTCCTGGCCATGGACACAGGTGGGGAGGGAGTGGTGGGCTGCATTTATCTGGATTCACTACTCTTTGACATAATAATAATAATTATAAAATAATCTGCTTCACTCTGGATTGACACACTAGGAGTGTGGCCTGACCTGGGTCAGCTAGGGCATCCCTGGGCTTTCCTGAGGCAGCTGAAGCCAGAAGAGATGGTCAAGGTCTTGTCTTCAAGCCACTATCTTCAGTGCAAATGGCAGCACAAGTTCTTCAAGCAAACTAAGTGAATTTTACACTTTTATGCTTGTTGCAGTTTTAGTGTGGTTTAGGACTCCTAAAGCCAGACTTGGTCCCAGCTTCTCAGTGACAGGTATCCAATCAAATCTGTCTTTGTCTTGCTCTTCCCATTTAGTCCTCAGAGTACAAGTACAACAGGCAGCTATTCCTGCTCAATGCCAGGGAATGGACCAAGAAATACGCAGGGCAGTCAAGGGTAAGGACCATGCTCTGCTCACTTGGTGTAACTCCCTCTTGGTCTTCAGTCCTTTTACGTTCCTCCTTCACAATTGCTTTGTTCTTTCCTTCCTCCCCTTCTGCTCTGTGCTTTGGATCTGTATTTAATTTCATTATTTTTTTTTTAAACTCAGTACATTCTCTCCTTCCAATTCAATGTGCTTATTCACTAATAAATGCCATGCTGCTCGAGGAGGAGGAGGGAGAGATGGATAAACCCTTCCAGGGATCCTGCAGCCCTGTTCTCCCTCAGCTCTGTTCCCTGTTCTCCTGTGCCTGATGCCTACCTGCACTTGTTCTCCACCTGCTCATCCATTCCCTGACTGGTCTCCCTATTCCCTGGTGGAGTTCAGCCTTTCTCCCATCATCCTTCCTCTCTTCCTGCCTCCTTTCCTCTCTGTAACCTCACCAGTGAGTCTCATAAAAACAAAATCACACTTAAGCAGATCAAAACCTTTGCCCAAAAGTCAGTTACCTTTAGGCCTTCTCCCTTCCCTAGGTGCCTTCCCTCCCTGCACCTGTTTTGGGTAGCACCCTTTCTGGATGGGGATATCTTCCCTGTGAGCCATGCTCACTGCTCCAGCTCTGAAGGCATTTCCAAGTTAATTGTGGTTGTCAGGAGGGCACAGAGTGAAGCCATCTCTGCAATAACACACAGAGCCCTAGAGTGACCCAGCTGATCTGTGTGTGTTCTACTGCTCTGCTCAGTCATTATCTTGCTCTCCTGTCATCCCCTTTCCTAAAAATCCCAGCAGCAGGAACAGAATAACAAAGGCTCACTTTGTAAGAGCCAGAGTACAGTTGGCTCTGACCTTGGTGGAGCACAGGGCTTTCCAATGCTGTAAAATTAAATTATTCACAGCTCTTTTATTTCTTGGGTTATCACAGGCTTCCAAGCCTTTGGAAGAGAAAATCATCCAAAGTGAAACAAGCACCAGCAATGAATTTGTCATGCAGAAGAGAAAAGGGGTTGACATCAGTAGGAAGGAGAAGAAATCCCGCCCAGATTCCTGAGGGGGCTTTGTTCTCTTCAGGCTGTCACTGTCGCCTTCCCCTCACACAGGTACAAGATCCCCTTTGGTCTGCCTTTAAAGAGCTGCACCAGCTTTGGGTTTCTGTTTCCTTGGGGGTGTTACTCTTTGCAAAAAGTTCCGTTATATTAATAAAATATAAAGCTTTAATTTATATCTATTTTTCCATTTTGTTGACTGGGTGTTTTGGAATATTTGAAAGAAAAGGTGTGTTGATGTGGCACAGCCTGGTTTTTGGTAGCAGGAAAGGGCCACAGGAGCAGCTTCTGTGACAAGCTGCTAGAAGCTTCCACCATCTCTGACAAAGCCAATCTCTGATGGCTCTGAAGACGGATGGGCTGCTGGCCCAGTTAGAGAGGTTGGTAACACCTCTGTGATGACCTGTTCAAGGAGAAAATGGTGCAGTGGCTGCGGGCAGGAGGGCAGGGTGGTGTCTTCCCCTTCCTGTGCTCCACACGAGGAGAGGTGTTAAAGGTGCTGGGATAGCAGCAATGGAAACGGAACATGGAACCTGGATGAGATCAGCTCCTCAGCCCTGCAGGATCTTGCAAGAGTACCTACAGGCAGCAGGTTTTCTTCCAGTCAGAGAAGAGGAGGGAGAAGTGGGAACATGTGAGAGGAAACAGCATGGCAGCACCAAGGTCAGTGTGGGAAGAGGTGCTCCAAGCATCGGAGACTCCTCTGCAAGCCATGGTGAGGACCAAGGTGAAACAAACTGTCCCCCAGTAATGCGTGAAGTCTACAGGGGATGCAGAAATTCACAGCCCAGGAGAAAAGGGCTCATGCTGGAATGGGTGGATGCCAGAGAAAGCTGTAATCCAGTGGGAGACCCAAATAGAGAGAGAGGGTCCTTGCTCCCAAACTAGAGCAGCCTGTCCTTAAAAGATTACATGCCCATGGATGAGTGACCCACACCACAGCAATTTTGGGAAAACTGCCCGTGGGAGGGACCTCCCAGCATATCAGAGAAAAGACTCTGCTCCCTGAGCAAACAGAAGATCTCAAGTGATGAACTGAGCAAAACCCCACACCCTGTCTCCCTGTGGGAAAGAGGGAGGGGCCAGGGGAGAAAAAGGTGTTTACTTCTCATTATTCTCCTCTGACTCTGTTAATAATAAAATCACTTTATACCTTTAAATTTGAACCTGTTTTGCCTTTAGTATTTTTTTTCTCCCAGTCGTTAACTCATGAGCCCTTTGGTTTTTTCCCCTGTCCTCTGCCCAACAGGGTAAGCAACAACTTTCATGCCTGGCATTTGGCCAGTGTCAAACCACAACACAAGGAAAACTACGACCACTGCTTCAGCTTCCAGTTTCCAACTTTAGAGACATGGGAACAGCACCAAGTAGTTCAGTTTCTATTTTCACAACCAACTGAGAGCAGGAGCTGAGCAGCAGACAGGTCAGAAACAGCTGGTGGGAATCCTTTCCCAGGAAACTCTTAGTTTTCCATGTGACTTCAAGGGCTGTCATTAAACTCAAGTCTTACAAATCTGGCTCTCCAGAGCAGGTTCCAGTTGGACCATTTAGGATAACCTGGATTGTGTCGTGGCTCTGTTATGACTCCAGGAGGTGGCCAGTGACAAGAACCAGCTCACAGCAGGTGAGGAAGAGCCCAAAGGATTCCCAGAGATCTGTGAGGGTGGACGTGGAAGAGTGGGATGTCAGCAATGGGATGTGTGGGGTGAAGAGTGCAAGAGGATTGGTCTAAGGAGGACAATTCTTGGTGCTTCCACAAAGGGAAGGGCTGGCAGCAGATCACAGTAGGAGCAAGCTTGGGCTCTTGCTCTGCAGGTTGCCCACTGGGAATTTAACCCATATCCTGTCCCTGCTCCCAGGAAAGCAAGTCAGGCCCATCTCTGGAGCAGAGACAGGACTCAACGAGGTTTCCAATGCCTGCAAGCAGTGAAGCTCAGCGATGAGCTGATCTCTGCTGGGTGAGGAAGGGCTGTGTCCTCAGCTGCTCCCAAAGCCCAGGCATGTCCTTGTCCAACTCAGTCAAAGTTGTAGTAAAGGCAGAAAGCGAAGAACATGGCAAAGATCTGGAATGATGGAGGTGAGAGAGGGTCAACCCCATGGCAGGGCCAGGCTGGGCCTGAGGATGGAAGCAGAGAGAGGGGCTGGAGGATCCCTGGCCTGGGGCCACTGCTGCAGACCTCGAGGGGTCTGGGCCAGCTCTCCTGGTGCTGCACAGGGACACCCAGGGTGAGGAGACCCAGGGGGAGTAAAACAAACCCTCCCTTGTTCCTTCACCTGCCCCATCTGCAGTGGAGAACAGGCTCTGTACCCCGAGACAGACCTGAGCCCCTTTGTGCTCTCCTTGCCCACTGAGCAACCCCCATGCCACCAAAACTGCTCTGCCTGCCCTGGCCCTGGCCCCCCTCATTACCTCAATGCCCAGCACAGCTAAGCTGCAGGTCCCAGGGAGGGAGATGTACCTCTGCAGCGTCCTGCCGAAGGTGAAGAAGCAGCCCTGGGGCAGAGAGAGGATGGAGAGGCTCTCTTGTGTTCCCCATGGCCACAGGGAGCCCAGAGGGGGACCAGAGTGCAGGGGGATGTGGGGGGGTCTCCTGTGGGGCAGGACAAGCTGAGGACTTTGGGAGCCACTGGACTGTGGAAGCACAGGCAGGCAATGTCCCAGGCTTCTGTCCCTTATGCTCTGCTCCGTGAGCCTGGGAAGGGCTGAGGCTGGGACAGGGACACAGACACAGCAGGGTTGTGCCGTACCTGCTCATGGATGTAGCCAGGGCTTCTGTCCTGGCACTGCTCCCAGCCTAGGAGCTCTCCTGCCAGCAGAAACCCATCCCGGGCACAGCACGCCTGTGGCCATGGCATCCCTGGGTGCAGCTCCTGGAAGCGGGAGCCATTCCCAAAGTCTTTGGGTCCTAAAACACCACAACACGAGAACTGGAACAGAAGGGAAACACCATCACCGTGGTCACCCTTGGTGGATCCTGCGTGTCCCCCAGGAGCCTCCCAGGTGCTCACCGTGACCATGAGGGTGTTCCAGGCTGTGGAGAAGACCTCAGCACTCTCATCCCCACCATAGTTCTTCTGTAGCTCGGACAGGAAGTGCTCGGGCTGCACCTGTGGAATTGATGCCAGGGCTGGGAATGTTCCTCTCCCACCCTGCTGAGGGGAGCTGGGCACCCACTGGATCCCCCCCCACCTGCTTTGAGGTGTGTGTTGTGCTGGTGACAGAAGTGAGGGGAAGGGTGTCCCTAGACCAGCCCAGGTCGCCTGGTGGGCTCTGAGCCATGGCCATGGTGTGACAGAGGAAGGCTGCTGACGCTGGGGATGGTGTGAGTACCTGTTTCCAGTGCACCAGGAAGAGAATGGCCCCAACAAGCTGTGCGAGGAAGACGAGGCTGACAAGGATGAAGAACTGGAAGGCAGCAGGTGAAGGAGTCAGAGACCAGCCTGATCCCACAAGCAACCTGCTCACATTATCCCTGCCCTCCTCTGCACCAGTCCTGCCTGTGCTCTGTGTCCCTGAGACCAGGGACATGTGTACAGCTCCTGGGGACAGATGCCACATCTCTGACCACAGTGGCTGCAAGGCAGGGGTTAAAAACAAGCACTGCCTGCAAGGGACTGGGGATGCTGAATAAACAGGGGTCTCCGTGCTCAAATAGGCATTTCTGTCCCTCACCAGCAGTGGGGTCATCTTGGAAATGCCATGTGGGACAAGCCAGTGGCTTCAGAGGGAATTGACTCTACTTGGTGGCTTTATAAATCCTCTGGGCTCTAAGCTGAGACTCACAAGGTGGGGAGTGGATGGCAGGACATATTGAGGATGAGGAACAGCAGCTCCTGGCTCTTCCAGCAATACCTGCATCCCCCACTACCCTCCAGCCTGTGACTCCTGCCCCCAGTGCCCCCTGCCCACATCCTGCAGCCCCTTCCCACCCATCTTCCCTCCCTCACCAGCAGCAGGAGCGGGCGGCTCCGGCGCAGGGCCCCGCAGCAGCCCAGGAAGCCCAGCAGGGACAGGGCAATGCCCACGGCCAGCAGCAGCCATGCACCTGCGCTCAGCACGGCCCTGGCAGCCACGATGTCCTGGAAACCAGCCGGGTCCGTGGCCACCCACACTCCCATGCCTGTCAGGCATGTCCCCCCAGCCTGCAGGAGGAGGTCAGGAGATGATAATGGGCTCAAGGGATGTCCAAGGCTCGGTCCCCTCCCTGGGAATGGGTGTCACCCACCCTGAGCCAGATGTAAATGTCACCCCATGTGCATGTGGGATGCTTCAACCCTTGGTTCCCTCCCTGGGACCGGTGTCACCCACCCTGAGCCAGCTGGAGATGTCGCTCCCCAGGCAAGGTTCCCCTCCACCCCTGCACCCCGCAGGGCCCAGGTGGACTCACAAACACCAGCACGTTGAAGATGAACATCAGGTACTTCATGCAGCTCAAGACACTCATGGAGACACCGGGAGGGGGGACACAGCAGTGTTTGTCCCTGTGGAGGGGAGAGCAGAGCCCTGGCCACAGCCAGCCCTGACTTGTCCTGGACCCCATGGCTCCAGCAGAATGTGGGGAGATCCCAAAATTCCCAGATCATTTTCTACCTCCACCATCTCCCATCACACCCCAAAAAGCCCCAAACCTGTGTTCTCTCCAAATCCATGTCCCCTCCCAATCACGTCCCCGCCCTTCACACGTCCCATGTCTCCTGTCCTGTGTCCCATCCAAACCCTGTGTCTCCTCCAAACCCTGCGTTCCCTCCAGACCCTGTGTCCCCTACAAACCCACGTGCCCTACAGACTTTGTGTCCCCACCAAACCCTGTGTCCCCTACAAACCCATGTCCCTTCCAAACCCAGGTCCTCTCTAAATCCTGTGTTCCCTTCAGCCCCTTCATCACTCACCCTGTGGAGATAGTGGGCAACCCAGGTGCCTCTAACCTTCCCTGGCACTGCCAACACCTATATAACATCACCAAGGTTGGAAAATCCCTCCTCCCTTCTCACACCAGCAGCCCCCAAGAAATCCCTTCCAGCCGCGAGGCCATGAATGATTGATGGGGAACAGGATCCACCATTGTGCCTCTGGCGGCCGGGAGTCTCCGGCTCTTGTCAGCCAAGGAAATGAAACCTTTGGGCAGGGAAAGATGAGCCACCCCACCGGGCCAGGGGTGACCTCGGCCACTGATCATTGCTGTGGCCATTCAGGAAAGCCTTCAGTGGCCACAGGTGGGACCCGAGGGCAGGCAGGTGGTGCTGCGGGGACGATCAGCTGCTGGGGCAGCACAAATGGATGACAGGGTCTGTCCCCTCTTGTTGCTGATGGGAGAAATGGAGATGATTCATGCTAACTAAATTGTAACTATTTGAAAAGTTGTTATTATAAAGCAATAAAGGGAATTAGTGTTACAAGGCAGATGGAGCCCTTTGCAGATGTTACACGTTAAAAATAGGATACAGGATGTAGTTTTAAGATAAGTAATGTCTCAAGACAGAATCGACCTTGAGATGGACAAAGCTGGAACGACTTCAAGCATAAGGTTTGAAATTACGGTTTTAACTACAAAGTGCAAGGCTAATTATTGGAACATAATGCTTGCTTACATCACACAATGCTTAGTACACACGAGCAACCTGTGAGGTTATCCAGAGGACAACAAGGATGAGTGCAGGCTTTCATCCAAAGACCACCAAAAGAAGACTGAAGGCCCCCTAGCAACAAGTGAAGCATGAACCATGAAGGATAGCGATGTAGAATTTAAGAATTGAAAGTTGGAGGAAACTTACAGGAAACATTAACAAATATGTATAAGCATGTAGTATATAAGTTTAGTTTGAATTGCTTTGTTTGGTATGTGAGGTGGGGTGAGAAGCCCTCTCCGTACCCTGCTCAGTTTTGCTTATGTTTTAATCGTACTTAGTTACTGGCAAATTACAGACATAATTGTATCTTTTTTACTAAATTGTATTCATTTATACCAAATTGCTATTCAATTGACTAAACGGTATTCTTTTACTAAATTGTATTTTTCATACCAAATTGCTATTCAATTGACTAAATTGCATTTATTTTTAATTTAATTGCTGTTAACTCAATAAACCTAATTGTCTAATTTCATTTACAACACTGACTTTAGGAGCTCTCTAAACGCAGTCACCTTAGAAAGGAAACATTATTTATTCTGCACCAGGTACAAATAGGAGGTTTCCACAAATCAAGCACACTGAGGGGTAAAAGGTTAAATCTTTTTTAAACAGTAAATTTACACGAACACGTCTATCTAAAGCATATTCTTCACTTGACTAATACATTTTCTTTTGGTGATGTGACTTTACTCAATGTTTGAAACACAAAGTTCTTTTCTTCATTAAAGTATCTTCTCTTGGAGAAGTTGAATTTCGACAGCTAGGTTTGCAAAAGGTGAGATAATTGATCCTAGGGGCAGAGAATTCATCTTGAATTGATAGATAATCACAGATAATTCATCCTGAATTGATAGATAATCGCAGATAATTCAAGATTAATTGATTGCAGATAATTCAAGATGAACTGATAGATAACCTCATATAATTCAAGATTAATTGATAGTTAACCACAGATAATTCAAGATGAATTGATAGATAACCCCAGATAATTCACGATGAACTGACAGATAATCACAGATAATTCATGATGAATTGACAGATAATCACAGATAATTCACGATGAATTGACAGATAATCACAGATAATTCACGATGAACTGACAGATAATCCCAGATAATTCACGATGAATTGATAGATAATCACAGATAATTCACGATGAATTGATAGATAATCCCGGATAATTCACGATGAATTGATAGATAATCCCGGATAATTCACGATGAACTGATAGATAATCACAGATAATTCACGATGAATTGATAGATAATCACAGATAATTCACGATGAACTGATAGATAATCACAGATAATTCACGATGAATTGATAGATAATCCCGGATAATTCACTTGAAGGCGGTGGCGGTGCCCCCGCAGCCCCCGGGCGCTCGGGGCTCTGTCTCTCCCCGCCGAGCCAGCAGGGGGCAGCCGAGCGCGCAGCCATAGAGCCGAGCGGGGCGGCCAGAGCGCCTCCCGCCCGCGCCCAGCGAGGCGGCTCCACCAATCGCAGAGGGCGCTGGCTGGCGGGGCGGGAGGAACGAGAGACAGACGGGGATCTTGACCAATCACAGAGCGTTTTCCCCAGGCTGGCGCCCTGGGGGCGCGGCCCCGAGCCCGGAAGCGGCGCTGTGCCTTCCCGTTCCCTCGGCGTTGCTTCCGGTGCCGCCGCCGCCGCCCGCGGGATGTAGCGGCCGGTGAGGGGCGGGCAGGGGAGCGAGGGGTTCTCTGCTTCCAGCCCACCAGGGAGAGCCCTGCCGCCGGTCCCGCCGCTCCCGGTAACTCTGCTTCTTCCACCCGCAGCGCGGCGGCAGAAGGACGCGGAAAGACCTTCCTCGGCTGCCCCGGAGCACCCGCCGCCCCGATGGCGTCCCGCAAGGCCCCCGCCGGGGCGGGCAGCGGGCTGGCGGCCGCCGGCCGGGAGCGGGAGCGGGAGCGGGCGCACCTGGAGCTCGCCGAGCTGGGGCCGCTCCTGGAGGAGAAAGGGGACCAAGGAGCCACCGGAGCTGCCAGCGTGAGCCCCTCCGAGACCCTCGGGCGGGCGGGGAGTCAGAGCCTGGCTCGGTCTCCTCGCTCCGTCCCCGCGATTACCCCGGGAATCTGCCCGTTATCCCATTAATAACTAGAGGAGCACAGCTCCGAGCCAGCCCCAACGCTGTTCCTGCCAGCAGGAATGGAGCCGAGATAGTCCTAAGCAGGGATGTCACCGGGATCGCTGTGTCTGTGCCGCCTGTTCCCAGGCTGTTTCCAGTGCCCCAGCATTTCCACAGGGCAGGGAATCACCTTCCCGACCCCTTTCCCGGCTGAGGAGAGCAGATGTGCCGGGAGCCAGAGCCTTCCCAGCTCGGAGCTGTCTCTGCTCGGGTGTCCCGGCTGCGCCGAGCGGCGGCTCCAGCCTTGGTTGTAGGGATGAAAATCCCTGGTGGTAATCCCACTTTTCGACAGGATAAATCTGGGATTAGCCTGCCCAGGACGGGTCAGGCAGCAGCGTGTTGCATAAACGAGGGTGACTGGGGGGTCCTGCCTTGTCCTCTCAGAGGGATGAAGCCCCAGATGCCCTCAGAAGAGCAGGGATGATTCCTCTCCCAGGGGCTGGAATAATTCCCTCCTGGCTCTTCTCCCTGCAGGCTGAGGATCCACCAGGCCCGGCAGCCCGTGAGGAAGAGGAGGAGGAGGTGGTGCGGGTGCTGACCCTGCCCCTGCAGGCTCACCATGCCATGGAGAAGATGGAAGAGTTTGTGTACAAGGTACCGGAGCTGGTGGTGATCCCCCGGTCTTGATTTTGGAGCAGATTCCCCAGTCCCAGGGTTTGGGGTGACAGGCTGTGTCAGAATAAAGCTCCACATGGCCCCAGCTTGCTTCAGCTCTGCTGGGCTGATCCCAGTGGGGATGGCCAGGATGGGGGGCATAGTGGGTGAGGACCTGGGAGCAATCCCAGTGTTCCTGTGGGCCTGGGTGCGGCCCAGGAGTCCCAGTGCTGGCTGGGGTGTCACCCAGTGCCCACAGTCACTGTGGCTCCTGTGCTTCTTCCCTGATCAAACGGGAATTCCCACCTCAGGGAACAGTCTCTGGGTGTGGAAAGGTTAAAGCTGATGGTATCAATCGCCCCTGACTCCCTGGGGGATCCTGGAATCACTCCTTTGGGGCCTGAGAGTGAAACCATGTGCTAACTGAGGTGAGGGTAAAATCACTCCCTGGGAGTTTTGTGGAGCAAAGTGCAGGATGTGGGTGGGTGGCTGACAGGGTCCACAGGGCACCTGATTGATGTCTGAGAAGCCAAACTTCTTCTCCCTGAGGAGCAGCCCAGGGCCGGGTTGTTCCCTGTGGGTCTGGGGCTCTGATCCCCCTGGTGTGTTGCAGGTGTGGGAAGGACGCTGGCGTGTGATCCCGTATGACGTCCTGCCCGACTGGCTCAAGGACAATGATTACCTCCTGCACGGACACCGGCCCCCCATGCCCTCCTTCCGTGCCTGCTTCCGGAGCATCTTCCGGATACACACTGAGACAGGCAACATCTGGACACACCTGCTGGGTGACTGTGGGGAAGGGGGAACCCTGGGGCTGGAGGGGCTCAGACCCTGCGTTAGAGTCAGTGCTGGGTCCTCCCCGTGCCCAGGGCTCCCTGTGAGGATGCTGTGCATGCAGGCAGATCAGACATGGAGTGTCTGGAGCCCCTTGGGAGAGAGGGACCAGGGCTGGGCTCACCCACTGTAGGAGTGGGATGGCGAAATGTGTCCTGGGAAAAACAAGGAAGCCTCAGATGACGTTCCTCTGAAATGAGTCCAGAGGAGGCCAGAGAGATGCTCTGAGGGCTGGAGCTC